ACAACCTTTGGGATTATTCTGTTCAGTAACTTTCCCTAGGTTACAACAAAAATTATTCTTGTAAATAAACAATCTAATAAATAAATAGTGTTTAATATTTTTCTTGTAAATTCTGAAGACCAAAAAAAAAAAAAAAAATGAATAAATTCACTTTCATCATATGTTTAGGTTTTTTTTCCAATTCTAATAATCGCTTTTTAAAACTTTGCTGAAGAGTGTAAAAAAAAAAAAAATAGGTTTTAATACCAGCGATACTTTTATAAAAAAATTATTACCAGCAATATACAGGGTGTCCATAAAATTCGTGTGCAGTTTAAAAAATTTATAACTTTATTTGTATTTGTGATAGAAATAATTTGTGAAAAGGATTAGAAAGAAGTAAATTTATATTTGTTAAGGTTTTATTGAAATTTTATTTAAGTTTCCACATGTCCTCCATCATTAGCAATACAAAGGGTAATACGATTTTGCAGTTCACGGAAAACATTTGCCAACTGATTTACAGTAATGCCTGAAATCACATTAGTTATTTTAGCTATACTTAAAACTAGGTACATTAAACTTTATAACATTTTTTACAGATTATTTCTATCACAAATACAAATAAAGTTATAATTTTTTTAAACTGCACACGAACTTTATTGACACCCTGTATTTTTTTGAAAAAAAAACAAAATTACCAGCAATAAAAATTTTGTCGGCATTAAATAACCCATTGAGGTTGATATGCTGTAAAAGAAAACTAATTTCATTTTGATCATTTTTTTATCAGGAAGGTAACTTCTTGATGTTAACGTCCAGAGGAAGTGATATCAGCATGCGGCACCCTTGGAAAGTACCTGAAAACCACACCATGGGTTGATCCGAGCCCTGTGAGTGAAAATGGGTAAATGGGACCATTTAAGATCTGTAGATGGTTCTGTCATCATGAACAAGGGTACTGATGTTGTTCAGACTGATAACACATTCTTCCAGAAACATTAACTAATGTCCGCTCAGCATAGTTGCATATAAATCACAGGTGGGCTCTGTGGGTGTTGAAAAAACACAAATGTGCCTGAACAGGCGTCTGCAACAAGGATTGGCTCGCCACCCTATTAGACTCAGATATGAGCAGCCAGCCACCGCCACCATACTATTTATATTTGGTCTATTGTCCTCATCTTTGTCATTGTTATTACAATGTTTTGGCTGTTGTACCCTTTGGCATATATTGACTGAACTGGTATGATAACAACAACAAAGATGAGGATAATAGTCCAGATATAGATAGCGTAAATAATAACTTCTTATCCCAAAAATTAAAATAGGAAATTTATTAACTTGAAATAAAAGAAAATATAACACTTAACAGGCTAATTACTTTTAAGTTCACCAGCCACTCCTGCTTACAGAGAGATTGTTGGTGGGACTTAATATATGCGGATTCTAACGGTGAAACTTGGAATTAGCTTGATATAAAAAATGTTTTGGATACTGATTTCAATAACATTATCCGTGTTTGTAAATGATTTTTCCCTTTAGTGCTGAATTTTAATCATCGTATGTGGTTGGTTGGGACATGTTTCTCTAGATACATATCAGGGGCTAAAGGATACATGCTCGAAATCTTCTGTACAAATCAACAGCATACGAAGGTTCTTAAAAAGCATCATTTTGTAAAATTAAAAAAAAAAACACTTTTTAAGCTGATTTTGCAAATATAGTCAAGATCGAGATTTTTACACACCTGGAAATTTTTCATATTAATGAATTTAATGTTTTAGTATTTTATTTATATATGAATTCATAAATTTAATATTGCATGATATCTAGTATTATTTAATTTATATATAAATTTGTAAATTTAATATTTACTTGTATATAAATTTGTAAATTTAATATTTATATTGTATATAAATTTGTATATAAATTTGTAAATTTAAATTTAATATTTACTTGTATATAAATTTGTAAATTTAATATTTACTTGTATATAAATTATATATAAATTTAATATTTACTTGTATATAAATATTTGTAAATTTAATATTTAAACTTGTATATAAATTTATAAATTTAATATTTGATATCTAATATTAATTTATATACAAATTTATATATATATATATATATATATATATATATATATATATATATATATATATATATATATATATATATATATATATATATATATATTTATATATATATATGTATATAAATTTGATATTTAGTTTTATTTATATATATATATATATATATATATATATAAATTGTTGGACTTTGTCCATTTATTTTATATATATATATATATATATATATATATATATTATGATATTTAGTATTATTTAATTTATATATAAATTAATAAATGCAAGTAATTTTTTCTTAGAAACCACAAAGATTTTTTTTTACATATATAAAGATCTAAGAATTTACAGAAATTTTGCCAGCAACTAAGTTTCTTGAAATTTTTTTTTGAATTTTGATTTTACAGAAATTTTCAAAGTTTATGAAAAGCAAGGCAATAAAGCCACTAAGATGGAAGAGCTTTACATGGAGTGAAAGAGAGTGAGAAAGGACAATAAAAGAACAGGTTTCAGGAAGACGGAAGATTGTGATTGACATTGCATTTAAATTTTTGAACATTATAAGTGACAGGGAAATAAACTAGAAGAAAGGTGAGAAAATAGAACTTATGGATTACATTAAACTAATTCAACGGTAAAACAAGACCCAGTTACACATTTTGTAGTATGCTTAAATTCATGCAGCCTTGGTAGCAAGGAGGAGACCTTATTAGAAGTGACATGAAAATATTTAGAGAATAAAGTGGGAATTCATGTAATAATGGAGGGAAAGTGACTGAAGTCAATATGTTAGATCATAATTGATCACATTACAGACTCTTTGAATTTTGTTGTGAATCTCAAGATTCACCAGACCATATATAGCACCAATATTCAATGCACGCACAAATGATGTGTAAGATGGATTCCGAATTCTTTTGGGGTGATATTCCTTAAGATTTAAAATTATGCACCCTACATTTTCTAATATGTAGTTGGGTATGGTTCCAATGTCTCTGGGGACAAATGCATATAATTTTATTATCATTCCCAGATATAAAATTGCTTTTTTTATTGTCCACTGTTGTGAAAAGATTAAATAAATTACTACTCTTAAAATTAATTTTAACAAAAATCTATGCTAATAATGTAATACTTGTCCTCCTGGTTTCAAGGGTAATAAAGTCACTAAGATGCTAGTGGTTAGTGATGATGATAGAATATAAGAAAGAAAAAAAAAAGAAAGAAAACTATCAAGGAGCGAGAACAAGAATTAAGACAGATGATAACGACTGATATTTATTTAAATTTTTGAAGATCAAAAACACGACCAGAAAGAAAGAAGTTGGAAGAGAGTTCCACAGGCAAGAAGTGTGAGAGAAGAAACTGTTATCCTAGAAGTTATTGTTATACCTAACCTTTTATTTGTAAATTGATGAGGTTTTGCCACTAATCTAGTACTGGGCTTTAATTCACAAATTCTAGGTAAGAAAGCTCAAAAGAACAATTACCGTGAAAGTATTTATAGAAAAGGCACAGAGAAGCTATGTTATGACAGTGGCAAAGTGACTGAAGCCGAGATGCCAGGTCTGAACCAATGACATTGCATATTCTTCTTTGGATTTTATCAAGAGTCTCTGAATGTGTAGCAGGAGAACCAGATCAGATGTAACCATTGCAACTGTAAAATGATGATATCTACCTGCCAATCTACTTAAAGTCACAATACTAAATGGGAAAGCTCATCAGAACAATTACCGTGAAATTTTTTTAGAAATCTTGCTAAATGTTTGCATTTTCTTGATTTCAGAAATTTTCCTACATGTTAGAGTGGTGATTTTCAATGTGGTCGAGGTGGACCACCTGTGGTCCACACAGCATTTCTAGTGGTCCATAGAGAATTCATAGGCATAAAAAATTGTAGACATTTTAAAAAAAAAAAAAAAAATATCTAAATTTTGAAGAATTAAAAAAATATAATAACTATGAAGAAGAGTTGACAATGAAGGTGTCTTTACCGACATATCAATAAAGGACTTGCACCCAAATATTTTTTTACATGTAGAAGCAATCATCATTTCTTTCCCTACCACATGGAATCTGGATTTTCGGCAGTTGTGGATGTTTTCAGTAGAAAAAGAAATAAATTAGATTTTAACAGCAGGGGAATTATCAGACTAGGATTAAATGACACTATCAAAATTGATTATAATATCTTGTGTCAGAAACACCAAGATCAAGGTAGTCACTAGCTGAATGGACTAAGACTGAATGACATCATCAAAATTGATTATAATATCTTGTGTCAGAAACACCAAGATCAAGGTAGTCACTAGCTGAATGGACTAAGACTGAATGACATCATCAAAATTGATTATAATATCTTATGCCAGAAACACCAAGATCAAAGTAGTCACTAGCTGAATGACATCATCAAAATTGATTTTGATATCCTGTGTTTATCCTTGTTTAGTAAAATAAATTTTAAAGTGTAAATAGACTAAATTTTAGTATGAAAATTAAACAGTCTAAAAGTAAAAATAGGCGTTGTCCATTTGAATTTTTTGAAGAAGAAATGATTCATGGGCTGAGAAAGGTTGAGAAACACTGAGAGTAAATTTTTTTCTTTTTCATAATGATAATTTAAGATTTATAGCAAAAAAAAAAAAAGCATCAATTTAAACTGACGCCAGGAGGAAATAGGACTAAAGAATTAAATAATGTTCATGACAACGTGTAGATTGCTTGACAAATAATCCTTTTTTTCTTTTTTCTTTTCAGGGATTTGTTAGCTGTTAACAAAGGAGTCCATCCCACCCTTTAAGCATTTCTTTCTCTCTTTCTCGCTCTGTCAGGCAAGGGAGGTAACCCATCACGGTACCGCGACTCTAGTTTCCTCCCTTGTCTGTCCAATTCGTTTCTTTTGATGTTTTGCCAATCATGACGATCATGGAAGATCAAATTGAGCTAACTGAGGGGTGCAGGCTCCCTGTACTTTTAAAGAATGGCGAGGGCTGGCACTCTGCCGAAATCCTCAGCAAAAAAGAGGTTGGCGGAAAGCCCCTTTACTATGTTCATTTTGACGACTTCAACAAACGTCTTGATGAATGGGTGCCCGAGGAAAGAATGGACTTGACCAAAGTCGAAATGGTCAAAAAGGATGCGAAAGCACCTAAAAAAGACTCCAAGGCAGGCGAAGAAACCAGCCGACCAAGCAGTCCCGAAAGGGAATCCTTACCCGTGACTGGCTCCTCACTAACCAGCCTGCCCCCAGTTGCAAGCCCCATCCCGGCAACAGTCTTACAAACCCCGGCTGGCTCACCTGACACCGAAGTTGGTATGTCTAATGGCTTCGCTCGTCAGAAGACGCCCTCAAACGGTTCATTACCAAAACAGAAGTCGACACCTGGGCGCAAGCGTAAATTGACAGTGGAGGAGGAACCGTGCACACCACTAACGCCTCAAGGCGATTCGTTGTTGGTGAGCTTGGACGGAAGTCAGCCAAAAGTACCCCGACAAACGGGTAGCATGGTTGCTCATCATGATGACTTCATAACCCGTATGAAGAATATAGAGTTAATTGAAATCGGCAAATACCGAATCGAACCTTGGTACTTTTCTCCCTATCCGCAGGAACTTACCCAGCTGCCCATTGTCTACATCTGTGAGTATTGCCTGAAATATGTAAAGAGTAACAAGTGTTTACAGCGTCACCTGTCCAAGTGTCTCTTGAGACACCCTCCGGGTAATGAAATCTACCGTAAGAACCACGTCTCGTTCTTCGAGATCGATGGCAGGAAAAACAAGACGTACGCCCAGCACTTGTGCTTGCTTGCCAAGCTTTTCCTCGACCACAAGACACTTTATTACGACACGGATCCATTTCTTTTCTACGTCCTTTGTGAGCAGGACAGCCGTGGCTATCACATTGTTGGCTACTTCTCGAAGGAGAAAGAATCGAGCGAGGATTACAATGTTGCTTGTATCCTCACTCTGCCCCCTTACCAACGAAAAGGTTATGGCAAGCTGTTGATAGACTTTAGCTACGAACTTTCCAAATTTGAAGGGAAGACTGGCTCTCCGGAAAAGCCTCTTTCCGATCTTGGCCTGTTGTCCTACCGCAGCTATTGGTCACAGACCATCTTGGACATCCTCATCAAATTGAAGCCGAACGAAGCCGGGGAGCCGCCCAGCATCACCATCAATGAAATCTCGGAAATGACGAGCATCAAGAAGGAAGACGTCATCTCGACTCTGCAGCACTTAAATCTGATTAACTACTACAAGGGTCAGTATATTATTACTTTGTCACGCGAACAGCTGGAGTCACACTACCGTGCTATGGAAAAGCGGAAAACTTTCATTGACTCTAAATGCTTACATTGGCAGCCGAAAGACTGGAGTAAACGAGGGAAATGGTAAACCGAGAGGGACACCGTATCTCTCTTTCGACTCATTCAGACTAATATCCTTATCGTTTTTTTTTTTTTTTTTTAAGATGAAGCATTGTGAACCATTATCAGTTTTTAAATAGAATTTTCTTTCATATTAATTTTAGTTGCTTTTAATCGCAACAAAACGAAATGGACTATCAATCTCAACTTTTTCTTTTTTTTTTTTTTTTTTTTTGTGTCGATCAGGAATCAAGAACGAGGCCTTGGCAAAACTTGAGCTTCAGTCCCTTCTCCCCTGGGGAGCTAGTCTATTTAAAAAAAAAGCTGCTCTACCACTTGAAACACCAGTTCTCATATGATCACCAAGCAATGTCGAGTGCTTGGGAATACCAGGTGCTGTAATCTTGGATGTGCGGGTGGTGTAATGGATAATGACACAGAATTGTTAGTCGGATAGCCGAGTTCCAATTCCTGTAGGGTTCATTATGTTCACTTATATGCAAATGCCCTTCGGAGAGGTATGGATCCATCTCTTCTCCCCCCGGCTATGGGTTAATTAGTAAGACTTGTATCTCTAAATCATTATCTACAAAAAAAAAGTAAATAAAAGATTTTTACAATCTAAAAATATTTTCTGGCTTTAAATAACTTGCAAAAGGTTGATAAACTGTAAAAAAAAAAACTGAGGCATGTCTTTTTAGATTTATTTACATTCTCTGGAATGTCAGTGTATAGAAACTAACGTGGCTACAAAGTAGGGGATCAGTTTGTATATTGATTGTAATATAGAATTGATCTCCCACTTTATGACCAAATTATAATTTCTTGTTTGTTTATCATATTTTGATTCGGTATGAATCCATCTCTTCTCTCCTCAGGTATGGGTTAATCAGTAAGACCTGTATCACCAAATCATTATCGAAAAAGAAAAAATGATAAACCATAGAAAACAGATCAATCAAATACTGATTAGATACAGAAGTATGTCTTTTAGATTTATTTACATCCTCTGGAATGAATAAAGGCAAAAGGAAAATTTATCTTGGCTGATGCATTTCCTCCTCTGAGATAAGTTTTTCTCTTGTTTTTATTCATGTTGTCTCTTACAGATAAACTCTTTGAAATTTTTACACATTCTCTGGAATATAAATGTATAGCAACTACTCTGGCCAAAAAGTGAGGGACCAGTTTATATATTGATTGTAATACAAACTTGATCCCCCACTTTACATCCACATTATAATTTCTTGTTTATCAAATACTGATTATCTACACAGGCATGTCTTTTAGATTTATTTACATTCTCTGGAATATAAATGTCTAGAAACTACCGAGGCCACAAAGTGAGGGATCAATTTATATATTGATTGTGGTATGGAATTGCTCCCCCCACTTTATATCCACATTATTACTTCTTGTTTATCTATTGAATCCTGGTTAGCTACACAGGCATGTCTTTTAGATTTATTTACATTCTTAAATGTATAGAAACTAACGTGGTCACAAAGTGAGTGGTCAGTTTATATACTGATTGTAATATTGAATGGATCCCCCTCTTTATATCCACAATATAATTTCTTGTTTTTTTTATCAATTTCTGATTAGTTATGAATCCACCTCTTCTCTCGCCAGCTATGGGTTAATTAGTAAGACTTGTATCTCTAAATCATTATTATCTCAAAAAAAAAATACTTACACCCTAAAAATATTTTCTGGCTTTAAATAACCTGCAAAGGGTTGATAAGCTGAAAAAAACAAATTGATCACTATATCACTTGAGCTTGATGGGTAACAGAAAATTGAATTTGGTTTAAATTTACTCGGGTACCATATTTGTTATTGTATTTACATATATTACTAATATTACTATTATATAAAATCTCTCAGATGAAGCCTTGTCAACCATTATTCACTTTTGACTAGCATTTCTTTCATCTTAATTTCTGTTCATTTTATTTACACTATTAATTGTAATGCTATCTTGAATGTCTGTTAGATGAAGCATTGTCAACCATTATTAACTATTGACTAGTATTTCATTTTAATTTAGTTGCTTTATTTCCACTAGTGGTAGTAATATTATCTGGTATTTTGATGAGATGAAACCTTATCAACCATTAATAATTCTTGATTTGTATTTCTTTCATTTTAATTGCACTTGCTTTTCATTACAACTACCTAGACTGTCAGTCTAGGGCAGCATTTCTCTATGGGTGCACCAGGGTGCATTAATGTGTCCTGAAAGGTAGCCAGGTGCACCCCAAAAGAGCAATTTATGAATTCTTTTCATATATAAAAGGAGGAGTGGATAATCCTTTCCCTTTTTGCTTTCCTCAATGGATTTAATGTGATCCCCTAATTTTCACTCATAAAAAATTATTTTATCATGTATCTCGTGTATCAAGTTCCTTTTTGGAGAGACCAAATTACAATAGACTAACATCTTTTACTCTCTCTTTATCCTATCTTTTAGTTAAAAAAGTAAAAGAGAATGATACTTTTATCATTAGTAATGCTATACTCATTGCATAAAGGCGTACAGCCATAAACAACCGAACGAGAAACAGTTAAACATTTTACAAACGTAAACAATAGAAAAGATGCATATTCGCTATGTTTGTATTTTATAATATGATAATAATATGTGAATATTACATGCATTAATATTGGATACAGTTAAGTAAAACATCAGTTTATTAAAATCATGTTTATTTTATATATAGCTGTACTTGTTGATGACAGTAAATGGATATATAGTTTGGTCAATAGCGTAGCCAGGGCCAGCAGTACATACATTAATTTTATATCTCATGTATGATGTGACCCCCTTAAAATTTGCTACAAAATTAGGTCTTCAAAAGTTGTATGATACATGATTATATATGGTAATTTATTAGTTATTTTTATATTTTTTAAAACGCTAGAGACACAAGCACATGGCTTCCATGTTGAAGTCAAGTCTTTGTCATTTGATATTTTAAATCCGCTAAATTCCTTAATCTTTTAAGGAGTGGATAATCCTTTCCCTTTTACCTTCTTCAAAGCCTAACATATAAGGCCTAATATTAAAAACATTGCCAAAGCGCATCAAGTACACTTAAATATACAATACAATGTCTTAAAAATAAATATTTATTTCAGGAGACATCATTATTTTCAAATTTTATTACTAATTTTTCTTTATTATAATTTAAAGTATACCCCTGAATATGTCGTGATAGGTAGCCAGGTGTACCCCAAATTAACAGAAGAGCAATTTATGAATTATTTTTATATTTAAAAGGAGGAGTGGATAATCCTTTCCTTTTTACCTTCTTCATAGCTTAACATATAAATCTTAATATTAAAAACATTGCCAAAGTGCATCAAGTACACTTAAATATACAATACACTGTCTTAAAAATAAATACTTATTTCCAAAGGCTTTATTATTTTCCTATTTTTAAATTTCTTTACTAATTTTTCTTTGTTATAATTTAAAGTGCATCCCGGAATTTCAGTTATTCTACAAGTGCACTCTGAAGTTAAAAAAAAAAATGGTTGAGAAACACTGGTCTAATGCCATCAATAAACAGCAAAAGTCTCACTGAGTAACCATTCTTTATTTTTCATTGGCACCATTTACTAACAGCCAGAGCTGTTGCAATGAAAAGCAAATGAAATTAAAGAAATACTAATCAGTAATTGATAATGGTCAAACAGTATTTAATAAAAACAACAATGAAAATCGTACCCATGATGAGAAAAAAATATAAAGGTTGAATTTGATCTGCCAACCATAAATTTTTTAGTAGCTCAATTGGTTAAGCCCCTGATACAATTAACCTGTTTTTAAAGGCAAAGGGATGTGTGTTTGTCTTGCTAGGAATTTATTCTTTATGGAAAGTCCACACTGCTAATTGGTCTGAGAAGATAAAACACAACTGAAATTAGGATGAAAGAAATAAGGTCACTACTTAAGTCTACTGGTCCCCTGCTCGTTTTTTTTTTTTTTTTAAAAAAAAAAAAAAAAAAAAATTTTGTTAGGGAGTAATTTTTTTTTTTAGATTAGTACTTATTTGATATTCCTCCAGCCACAATGTTTGTCAGAAGTGAAAAAAATATATATATTAATTTTGATGGGGCCTTTTCATAATATGCAGTCTGAAATCAATCCCTGATTTTTTTAATTTTTTTTTTCACCCCAAGCAAGGTGACAATGTCACTAGAATACGGGGGTGGGAGGGAAGATTGAGGAAAAGCTCATTGGAGCAGTAGGCATGAAAATATTAGTAGAAAGGAGGGATGGAAGCCATGATGTGTCAGTGACAAAATGACTGATGTCAAGATCTCTATCTTGTTTTTTATTTACAAATGTCATGTTTAGAACTGTGCTTTCATGATAAATGCTTACTACCAATGTACGTTTTCCCAATTCGTAATAGTATGCAGTTTTCAAGGATGTAAGTAGTTTCAAACTTGACATTTGTAAATAAAAACAAAGTACAGATAACTCTTTAAAAAGTCTGGAATTGATTTGACACTGTATTTATATTATGAACACGAATCCCATTTTTTTTAAAATTATTTTTAAAAAATCAGTATTTTTTTACATTTCAGACAAATGCAGTGGTTTCAGAAAAGGTTAATGAATGCAAATCAACAGAAATTGTTTAAAAATAAATTCTTCCCACCTCCACTTTTTTTTTTTTTTTTAAATAAGCGGATCAATCGATTTAAATAGTTTTGAAATAAGACCTAAAAAAAGTTTCTATTTTTATTTTTCAAACAATGTCTTTCATTTGCTCTTTTATGCTCTCTAGCTTCCTTTGTGTGTCTATTGTATTTTGGAATGTCGAACCATGTTCAAAGAGAACGTTTACTGCTTCTACCATACATATATATATATATATATATATATATATATATATATAATCATCTGATACCATTGCTTGTCGGCTGTTGAAGATGTCTTTCCCAAATCTGCACATTACTCCTTTGACCTAAATGAAATCCATCAGAATTACCATTTTTTGGGGTCATGTATTT